TTTTTATTAGCTTTTAATGCTTCTTTTCATATATAGTATGTATTTATATACTATTTAAAACACTCATGATTATTACTGTTTCATAGGTTAATTAATCCTAGTTGAGGTTTATTTAAAGCTTCTAGTAAAGGCAAATAACTACTTCTATGCTAAGGTCTAAATACACTGATTTTAAGAAATACCTTTTTTGCTTGAACAAATAACCATTCTGATTTTTGTAATGTTTCATCTTCTATCTTATAAATAATTTCATTATACTCCTTTTCTATAACAGCTCTAATTTGATCTTCTCTTATAATTTCTATTGTTTCATACTTGAATAGAAAAGTTTTGAATATAGGTTTTTGTGATTCTAGTGCAATTTTTTTATATAAGTGTATAATACAATTTTTAATTTTAATCTATCTTTTAAAATTAACTTTCTTTTATATACATTAGCAATTTTTTCCTCAATTGATTCAAAAAAGCTAATGATTCACCTTCAGTATAATATTCTTTTGGCACAAATGCATAGTAATCACATACCTCACCTTCATTAAAATTTTCTGCTTTTGATTTTCTATTTATATATGGGTCTTTTATTTTTTCAAAGTAGATATCTAGATCTTTTTCTGCTGTATTATATTCTGAATTACTTGGTTCACCATCTTTATCATCATCTAATTCCATTAAATCAAGCTATTTTTCATCAGTTTTAGATATAGGTTTTGACCTAATTTTTTTTTATTTTTTATTTCAGATTTTGATAACCACTTTATTAATTCATCTATAGTTAATAATGGACTCTTTTTTTGCTCTATATTATTAGGAGTTGGTTTAGATGCATTAGCATCCATGTTTTGTAGAACTTTTATATTTGGAATATCACTAGTTGTGATCTAATCTTTTCAAAATTTTTACGGGTCCCTGACCGTGGTGCAGGTGCACCAAAAAATAAATTCTAGAAATATATATAAATTTATATAAATAGATATATAAATCTACATTGGGTTTATAAAATTTTTGTAAAGCTACATAAAAATTTTACATAATTCTACATAAAATTCTATGTATTAACACCTATTCATGTCTATTATAAAAAAGTCTATTTTATATCCGGTGCCTTTTTTATATTTCTTGTCAAGATTTATTAGATCTTTTCCCATTAACTTTCACGCAAACTAAACACATCAAACATGCTAAACAAGTATTCAAACGAAAGTTTAAGAATGTTGAATGTGTCAACATTACAATGATAGAATTATCTGTAAAACTAGCAGGACGGGAATACTTCCATTAAGAATAAAATTAAAATGGAATTATTATAGTCAATCAAATCTCAAATTATTTCAAAAATTGAATTTTGATTGGCTAAATAAATTATGTTGGAACAAAATAAAATTTATTTTGTAAGTATTCTGCGTCCCTGAAAACAATCTGGAATATGAAATATTTATTCAAAAACAATAACTTAAACTGGATCTGCCGAAAACTCATTCGGCTAACTTTTTATCAGATGTTCCAGAATTTATGAAACAGTTGTAATATGTATATAATATAGGTATATAATATATGTGTTAGGGAAATAGTAAAAGTGTCGGGAGTTGATGTTATAGAGAACACAGGAGTCACGTCCGAATACTTCGACCTAAAATAACCAGTCAATTTATCGCTTATACAGAGGTTAATCATGTACACGCTGCATTTTTGCGCGATCATAAAATTTCTTTTTTGTTGCTTCGACTGTTAATTCGAAGCTATAGGCTGGCTCCGTTGCATCCTCTTATGAATACATCGACGCATTTCAGCCGATTTTCACTAGCGTCCTTATCTTTTCTTCCATGATAACCTTATATTGTATATCTGGGTATATCGTAGAGAGCAAATATTTAGAATGCTAACAAATTCAGCTTGAAATGCATATTCTGACGGATTATTGTCACTATTAAGGGCCTGTTGTACAAAGACGTGCTGTACTGCGATGTGCTGTATGGGTCAAATGTATATATCACTTAGTCAACCTTCTTTCTATTGATAAAACAGACCAATAAGGTCGTTCGAAGTTAATTCTTCGGTTAACATCACCCCCCCCGGTTGAAGTCTCCCCCCGAAAAATGAACAGCCAATCAAAACGCTGGATAACTCTCGCCGATCACTTGATTTACATCGACCAATGAAATTGGCCCATATTTGTTCATTTTTATATGTTTGTTTCATTTTACCCCTTCCCGAGAGTCCTAGAAAGTGATGTTAACCGAAGAATCAACTTCAACGGCCTAACGTAGTAGAAATTGTGCTGACAATGCCTTGGCTGTTTTATCGATATGCTTTTAGGTCACTTAATAGTAATAGTAATGAAGTTTGATTAAAATAATAAACAGACCAATAACGTAGTAGAAACTGTGTTGACAATGTCCTTGGCTGTTTGATCGGTATGCTTTTAAGTCACCTAATCAAACTCATTGCTACTACTATATATAAAATGGCTCTGGCTATGTATCTATCTCTATGACATTCTTTATTAACCATCTGATAAAATTAAACATTATTTAGGGCCGTATATGATAAAAATTTTTATGAAAAACCGAAATTACTGCGGATAATAACAACTTTCGGTACAGTTTTCTTTCGAACTAGTATAATAATTACTAATTTAACTTTTTTTTAAAAGATAAAGAACTTCGTGTGATTTAATGTAATAGAGAGATTTTTTCAATTTATTACATTTTACAAGTAGTAAATGCTTTAACAAATTCGACGAAAAAAAAAGAGGTTATTGTTGAAAAGAGCATAATAAAAGCTATCGATTAAAAAAAATATATATATGGCAGAATTTTTCGCTCAAAGAGTATACCTTTAGTTGTATTAAAAAAGGTAACACCCTAATCTGACATCAACGTTGCTCGTGGATGATGGTTTGCTTAGGGTTCCTGAGAATTGGTGAGGAACATTCTAAGCCCATGTGAACATCGCTCACCACTGTGAATACAATTAGTCCTTTGGCAAGAAGGAGATCTACGCTTTACCAAAAATAATATAATAATAATAATAAATAAAAAGGTAAGTAGGATATTAAAATCAATGACTGATAAATGAATAGAAATAGTGTACTAAATCATCACGTAGGTATGCGAACCGTAACGGAGGACATTCCCGATGAGGTTCATTTGATTTTGCGAAAGGTTCTTAACAACCCTAACAATAGATTTGAATGCGCCTCTTATCCCATTTCCTAGTTTAGCATAAGAAAGTTTCATACATATTTTGTTTTAGTTACACAAATTCTGCATGATTCTATTTTTATTTTCTATAGTAAAAAATATTCAAATATTTTTAGAAGTGCATGAGAACGAAAACCTGAAAATAGATTTAATGATTTACTCTATGATTACAGGTTTTCATTCTCACGCACTCATGTAAATTTTTTTTTTAATTAAACATCACGTCAAAAAGGGCTTTGGTCATCAAAAATGCATAACACTGCATAACGATAAGTGTACTATTCTAAACAGGAATTTTTTGGAGAAAAGGATGCAGCAAATGCAAATTTTGATTGGTTAATTATTACATGATTTGACGTGATCAAAGTAAAATCGTTCAGTAACACGAAGTTCACATAATGATCAGCCAATCAAATCATGAAATTCAAACAAAAAAAAAAAAATCAAAAATTAATGTTAAAGAGATATCAAATTTAAGGGTCAGAATAAATACTTGGTAGTTTGTCATGAAGTAGGTAATCTTATCCTAATGCTGTTATTTAATGATTACTAATCATCTGCAGGCTCACGACGCGATAATCAAGTTTCGAGTTTTTTGGTTTTCAGGATTTTGACCTGCAACCTAATCCTAGCTATATAAGAAGATATAACTTTTTTTTTAGGGATGTTTATATGCGTGGCACAAACTTTAAAGTGCTTTTTTGGTGTTAAAAAGTATACTATTGTTCAATAACGATAAGCCGTAACATTGAAATAATGAATACGTATTATTTATTTCTTGGCAGCTTAAAAATTATAACAGATCATAGGATACAGATGGTCCGAAGGGCAGTCTGCATCATATAATAATCAGGAATTCTCTGTTGTAATTTTAAACTCCTCACAGGAAATAAATGAATAATACCCTGCCTTGCGTTGTTTATGCCTACCTTCATTATAATTTTTCACGTGAGATTCCCGATTATGAGGGATTATTTGACATACCATAGTGCACTGACCAAAGTACCCAGCATGGCAAATAATGCAGATCAATTTTTTTACAGTGATGTAAACAATTGTGTAATTCATGTACTTTGGTCAGTGCACTACGGTATTTATCAATTTAAATTATAAATTGCTTCTGATTAATAAAATAAAAGTAAAATTGCTAAAGTAAAAAAAAAATAAATAACGATAATACTTTCTCATTATATTGGATAGAAATTTTTCTACACTTATTCTGTAAAATGTGTGCTATTGCCACCCCTCGTTAAATACCCACACACCGTCAATTTAGTCAATTTAGTCAAATTAATAATAATATATTCCGGTTCCAAAAGGATACCAAGGGGCGTAAGACCTGGAGGGCAGGGCTAAAACGACACATAGTAAATGTCAGCCATTTACTGCGCCATTGCTTATTGTTTAAAGTATCTTTCTTGATACTGCATCAAAATTATAATATAATGTGAATCAATAATGACACTTATTGAATGGCAGGCATTTACTATGTATCGTTTTAGCCCTGCTGGAGGGCTATTTTCCGAAAATTACGATATTATTTATAGGATCGATAAAAATTTATATGAATATCTAGTTTATGGTTTTGCGATCTTTATTGCGTTGTATATAGTATGAAGTAAAAGCACGTGAATATATATTTTCAATTCTTCTAAAGAATACCTTTATTATGCGTAATATCGACAGGCTTCAGATTTTTTTGAGGACTACTACGTGTAACGTAAAATTCTATCGCTTCTCAAAAAAGAATTCAATTAGTTCAAATTTAAATTATTTATAACTCGGGTCCAACAATTTTTAAATTCGTTAAATTCTCTTACTGAGATGGTAATATATTTTGTCGAAAACAGATAACTATTTAGTTACGATTATTTTAAGAGTTTATCTTCAGCCATTATTATATTTTATTAAAAAAATTTTTAACTTTGGTTAATGCAGATGTGCGCAGTTGGATTAATTTCAGCCAATCGCTAAAAAGTCTCAAATTGGATGTTCCATTGACGTTAATCAGGTTTACAATAGCTAAATATACAAGCCGGGTCAAGCCGATTACAGATTGTCTGAATGATTCGGCTAATTAATTACCTAATAATTACATATATTTGCATATTATCGTTATTATGAATTTATTAATAATGATACCATCGGTCTTTCATAGCAATAAGATTTATGAATGTTCACACAGTCGCTCCTTTAAAGCATATATACCGAGATAAAAATGACAACGCAATTCCAACCTTTTCATTGTTCAACACCATCGCAATTCAACGAAAAAGCTCCTTCATTGTCTAAACTGAAAAACAAAAATCTAAAGAATGAATTAGTTATAAAATTAGTTGAACCTACTGTAATATTCCGTGGAGATCCACAAGAAGCTCCCGGTGTTTTTTTAAGAGGTGATCTGATTTTAAATTTAAGTAAACCAACAAATATTAAAGGAATTGAAATGGAATTTGTTGGAAAATCAAAAACTTTTTGGATTTCAGGTATCTATTATCTAAAACATGCAATGTCATTATGTTAGCATTTATTGAACCTTCATTCAACTTTTTAATATATACATTTGAATAGACGATGTTAGACAGGAACGGAATATTCATTCTGAAAAACGAGAAATTATATCTCATAAATGGCAATTTATGACTCCACACGTTAATGAATCATCAACACATGAACATTCGCGTCATAGTATTCTCGGTATAAAACAATTATCATCTTCGCCTCATGATCATACAAACATAACCCCGCCGGGTACATATATATTTCCTTTCGAAATTTTACTCTCAGGAAACCTTCCAGAGACTATCAGCGCAGACTTAGGATATGTACAATATCGATTATCTGCACAAGCGCATCGTCCAGGTTTATTACCGAAATTATCAAAAGAAATTGATATTGAGGTTATTCGAATTTTACCCGATGATTTTGACTCAGAAGGAATAGCTTTGTCAAAAGATTATGAAGATATATTAAACTATGAGATTTCAATTCCAAAGAAATCTTATCCTCTTGGACAAGCCATTCCGATAGAAATTAAACTAATTCCTTATATTAAAAAATTAAAGATTCACGGAATAACTATTAAGCTTTTAGAGACTACCATTTACAATGCTCAAAATGAAATGTTCGGGATCACCAAAGTTTTGGCAACACTTGACATTGAAAATCTAGTTCATGATAGTCTACTACAAGATGTAGATGAAGGCGATATAGGAAATACAAGTTACCAAAGTAATTTTGATTTCCAATTACCTAATTGTAATAGTAAAGTTAATTATTCTTGCCATACGCCTTTGATTAACGTGTCGCATGTATTGGAGTTCTCTATTATGGTTACTTTACCAAAAAATGATACTAGAACAAAACTACGAGTAGAATGCGACATTAATTTGGTTTCTTGGTTTGCCACTAATCAAAATTTTACTTTACCAAAATATGAAGAAAGTTTGTTGTTCTGCCCTTGTAATCCTGAATATCAACGAATTGCAAGATTAGTATTAGGTGATGCTGCAAATGACTGTGGTTGCCATAACGACGTAGGTGTAAATGAGAATTCTGTATCAATGCCGGCAATGCATTGTAATTGTGATTGTTGTGGAGATGACTGTAAATGTTTACCTCCAAATTATGATGAAGCATAACTGTAGCAAAGAACAGGATAGGAATTAGTTTTTATGATACTCTTAAGCTTTAAAGTTTTATTATGCATGTATTTATTAAGATTATTCAAGAGCTCGTTTCATTTTACTTCACAATAATGTCTATGGCAAATACCGGTATTATATATATTTATGTATGTGGCAATTTTTTAGAATACAGTCAAAAATCTGTCACATCATACTTTATGAACTATTTTATGCTGAAGTGCTAACTGTAGTATCTTAAAAATGAAACTTAAAATTTCATTAAAGTTCTTGAAACCGAGATTATTGGTTTTTTTTTTTTTAATTTTGTTTAGGGTTCATGAATGCTTGTTCATTTCACCGACTTTTAAAACCAATGCTAACTTTAAGTCAGACTAGCCATAACTATGAATTGGGCCGACTTTAATTGTCAGGAAAATGAGATCCACCGTATGCAGCTATTGGAGCCTCGAAAAATTATGTTAATTAATTTCGCGCGTTATTTCAACAGATTACTAGTCACTTCTATAGTGATATAATAATCGCGATCGTTCAATTCATAGTGATATAATAATCGTTCAATTCATAGTGATATAATACCGTAGAGCACTTCACTCAGTACCTGGGGTATAAATCAACAACACCTTAACTTGATTTGTAGCCAGGGATGCCATATGACGATAATTGATGTTTAAGTAGATGTTCGTTTTATTGGGTGTAAGTATACATGGGGTGTCTAAATTACTTTTCTTAATAAAGAATTATTTCGACATTTAGTCTGTCGAAAATTAATTTTTCTTGGTGGCGAAATTAATTTTCATAGTTGAAATTTTTTAGTGAAATTACTTGAATTCTTTGTGCCAAAATACTTTAGGTCGTATAGTTACTTCGTAGTTCATATAAACAACTAGCAATATCGAAATGTTTGTCGAAATTATTTTTTTTAAAAAAATAATTTAGACACCCATGTATAGTCTCGCAGGCCTAGCAACCGCATAAAATGTCCGCAGACACATGACTTCAAACCGAAAACCGGCTTTTTCAAAGAATCACCCATAACTCAAAATTTTGATTATAAACCACCTTTTGTGCCTTAACAAAAAAAAAATTCCTTGCAAAATTTTTCTATATGCAGTATTCCTTCTACTATCATCCCAATGCCCACCTCTTACCCTAGCGTCGAAAGTTAATTTTTTAATCGAAAAATACGTTGACAATCTGCAGCCAATGAAATTTTGCGAATCTTTATGCTATAATACAGTAATATACGTACGTACGTACGTACTCGGGTAGTGATTATTTTTCGCTGTGCAGACCATTTTCTTTTAAACAGATGTGTGAATGCCGCACAGAAAAAATTAACATTTTGTAAGTAGTGCGCACATTGTAAATAGTTTGCTTTATTTGCCGCACAGAAAAGTTTCCAAATTGTGCGATGTCCGCGCAGTAAATTTGAATTGAAAAATTAACACTGTACTCGGGTATAAATCAGTGAAATATACCGGGTCTTAATCTGGGTACTGAATATTTAGCGTTAGGGATGTGAAAAGTTCGAACTAGACTCCAGAAGTCAAGTCTTAATTTGTACTCGGTTCCAAGCAGACTTGGACAAAACTCATTCTGTCATGTGAAATGCGTGACACCACATTATTTAAGTAATACAAGGTTCAAACTTTGAATCTTGTATTACAGTATTACTTAAATAAATGTGGTGTCACGGATTTCACATGCAGGATGAGTTTTTGTTCAAATTAAGACTTGACTTCTGGAGTCGATTTGGGACCGGACCGAATTTTTCACATCCCTATGAATATTATACTTATAGAAGTTTGTCTGATTGGGCTAGTGCAAATCAATTGTGTGAATAACTGATATATTTATACTAGAGCTCTGTTCATAGACAGAAGTTCGTTTGATTGGTTGATGTAAATCAATTGCCCGGGTAACTTATTTATACACTTTAAAGTACTTTTTAAGAACGTAAAATTACACAAGCAAAAAATCCTCGCAAACATTATTTCTAGCCTCAAAAGAGTACTAGAAAGTTAACTCTAAAATTAATCTCTTATAATCTCTTATTTAGAGAAGTTAGCCTAGACACGACTTTTTGAACTAAGTATAGAAAAAAAGGCTTCGTTTGAATTTAGAAATGCACTAAAACAAAAAAAAAAAATAGTTACTAACAAAAATAGCTGGATTTTTTTTTTAGAGATTAATTTCAAGTTCGGTTTTCGAAGTAGAATAAGCTTTCAGCGATATTAGCAGTGAGGCATTCGGATTTAAAACACTCTTAAATTGGGTTGGTTTTTTAAGTTTGGGTTAATAGATTATAAAGATGAGTTTTGATTCTTAGTTAGATTTAGTGAGGTCTGGTTGTTTTAATAGTTGAACTCCGTATAAATTTTTTTTCTTGAAGCTTTCGTATTATTGTAAAATGACGAATGAAAATTTGCAATTTGATTGGTTAATCATCACGTGTAGATCTACAAATCGATCTAAAAAAACTAGCCAATCAGACAAACTTCTGTCTAAGAGTTCTGTAGGGATGTTAAACCGGTTCGACTCGACTCCAGTTTTAAGTTTTAATAATTTAGACTCGGTTCTGAATCAAACTTGGGATTGAATTTACTATTTCATGTGATATTTGGTCACAGCATATAATGTCATCAATGATATTCAAAGTCAATGATTACTGCATATTTTCATATATATAACACTTGACTGTGTATATGACTTTTGGAATTCAGTCCTTTTGGATCTTCTGGAGTTTAAACTAGAGTTGCTGGTAAAACTAGTGATTACTAAAATCTGATTGGTTATTGAATGCAATGGCCAATCAGATTTTAGATAGTTATCAGCACAATTTAGCAACTCTAGTCTAAACTTGACTCAAAAAAGTTTAGTTTAAATCAATTCAAAAGACTAATTCCGATTGAACTTTTAATATTCCTAAAGTTTTGCAAATGTTTATGCCAAATGCAAAAGTATCAGACACTTTTAAAAGTACCAAACACTTGATAACTATGTTTATAATAGTGTTAGCACTTTTAGGTCTAATTACGTGTCTAGTATTTTTAAGAAAATATCTATAGTAATATCTTAAACATAGTGAAAAAAATAACTTTTTTAGAGTTGCTACCAAAATATTAATATCAAATTAGTAACTTCAGGTTGTAGATCTTTGTGATTTTCAGTTTAGTGTGCCTATTATTGGTTTTTTAATATTTATATCTATTATATCTCTTATCTTTTTGTTACTATACAACTTCCAAATTGGTAACTTTTAGGTTGTAAAACTTTGTAATTTTCTAATTTAGTGTGCTTATTATTGGTTTTCTAAGATATTTTGATATTTGTTTAAAATCTATAGAAGAATCTGTATCTCAAGCCAGAAACTGCTGCCTAATTAAATTTCTATATAACAAAGTTGTTATTACATTATTGGATAAACTTTCTTACTTAAGTACTTTAACAACTAGGCTGTCAAATTAACTAGAGAAAAGAACTAGTATCCTTTCTGAATTATCTGAATTAGTAGTCTGAAAAGACTAGTTAAAGGATACTGAAAGAGAAATACTAGGTTATTTTAAAGAAAGAGTATTAGAGTTTGGGTAAATCCTATAAAGATCAGAGAATTAGATGGTGTAGCCTGCTTATAAAAGCTTAGAACCTATTTGGTTAACTTATTTGCAGAAGAAATTGATGCTATAATCTGATTATAAAGATTTAGAATCTATCCAGTATTACTTATTCAAAAAAACTAGACTATATATTAAAAGTAGGTGATGAATAGCTCTAGCAGATGATGCACTTAAGAATATATTGGTAATATTGATAGTTCTATAAACAGTTCAAGATATTTTTGAGCTATAGAATAACTTATATACTTTATAGTTTTAGATAAGATTAAATAGATTAGTATAAAAAACTCAAATCAAAAAATTTAAATAAAGAATCTACAAGCAGATCTTAGATATAGTATGTGATAAATAACTATAACTAGTAATAGATATAGCAGAGTTCTTAAATAAGCAATGACTAAAGTTATATATATAGCCAAATATACTTTTGTCAGAATATACTTGTTTAGGTCCCTTTGAAAAGAATATCACATAATTCTAAAATTTAATAAAATTAATAAGCTAAAGAGGCCAACCTTAACTACAAAAAAATAAATATCTTATAATTAGAAAACTCTTTTTGACAATCTTCTAGTTAATAATAACAAAAACTAATTAATAGCAAAACAGTATAGAAAAGCATCAAAATAGATACTAAACTTGATCTTATAAATAGAAGTAGCTTGTTGTTAATGAAGTCTAAGCACCTAGACATAATATATCAAGAAGTGGATGTCAAAAGAATAAATAGTCTTTCTTGAAGTTAAGTTTGTTTCAAACAGACTTTCTAAGATATTTGGCATCTAAACTAAAAGTTTTATTCTAAGAACAAGTCTGTAAAAGTAGCCAATATGCACTTCCAAGTTTGTAGAAATGGATAAGCCAAATTATATAGCTGTAAAACTTATAAGAAGAACCTTATATACTCTTATTGATTCACCACTTTTTTTTAAAAACATTGTTGTAAAAAGTAGGCATCTCAGCTTACCTTCTTCAAACAATTAATAACTCCTTTACTAAAATAATTAGCATTATTTATCTTCTAAATTAAATAAAATACAATTAGAATAAACTACTAGCTATATGTCTTATTTAATAGAATATAACAGAATAAAATGGTAGTAGCAATAAATATATATACTTTGAATACAAGAAATTTGTACTAACAATGCTGCAAAACTTAATACTGACACCTCTACAATATATGAGTCAATAAAGTTTTTTTTGATAGATTTTTACTTAAATATACTAATTAGATAAAATTAGAATAGAGGCTAGTTTATTTAATAGTATATAATTTTTATAAGTCTAATATAGGCTAATAATTATAGCATTAGAATAGGCAAAATTTTTAATATTTCTTTTCATTATACTTTTTATTCTCTTTTGTTTTTTGCT